GGGGCCTCCTGGGCCGGCTTTGGGGCCTCTTGGGCCGCCTTGGGGGGTTCCGTAACCTCCACAGGACGACCCTTTTGGCCCGTCTTGGGCCCTCTTGGGTCTCTCTTGGGCTGAATTGGGGCTCCTCGGGGGCGTCTGGGGCACTGTGAAGATGAAGCAGCGCGTTTGCTGACAACGTACGTTTTACGAGGGGGATGAGCCGATTTTTGCGTCTTGAAGGCCATATTGGGGCCCTCTTCGGCCATCTTCAAGCCATCTCGGGCCCCCTTGGGGCGTTCTTGGGCGTCTTGCGGCCCTCGTGGGCCTCGCTGAGGCTGTCTTGTGAGCCTATTGGATTGTTTTTGGGGCTTCATGAGCCGTCTTTGGCGGGTTCGTGGACCCCACAGGAAGCCGGGGGCCGCCATGCCAACCGCTGGCACCACCCCACCCCCGCCCCCGGGCCTACTCCGATATATATATATATATATATATATATATATATGTATATATATAAATATACACACACGTACATGTGCGCGTATGTATGTATATAGATATGCATATATATAAAATGGATACGAAATCTATGAGTTGCTTCTGGATTGTTCGGCTCGCAATGGTTTCAAACGGAGCTCGCATAGCCCCTGAAGCCCAAACGGATCCCAGGCAGAGCCACCAGACAATGTTGTTTTTGTTCCAGCTCGCGGGCCCTGGAAGCTCCAACTTCATTTCCCACGCAGATCTATGCTTGATTGCCCCATCGGCCCCAGAAAATGCCCCTGGAGGCCAGATTCATGGAATGTGCCCGTGCACATGTATATAACAATGTGCACACGTACATCTACAAAATGCATGTGTATATGCGCATACACACTCACCCCAGACAGTGCTTGCACTTAGAGGGTTCTTACTATTCTTTCTAAAGAATTAAATGGGTCAACCGAGATTTCGCCTGGTGCCCGCCCATGGGCGCCTCGTGGGCGCCTCATGCGCTGGGTGGGTCGGCCGAGGTTTCGCATGGTACCCGCTCGAGGGCGCCTCGTGAGCGCCTCATGCGCTGGGTGGGTCGGCCGAGGTTTCGCATGGTGCCCGCTCGAGGGCACCGCGTGCGCTTGGGGGGTCAGCCGAGGTTTCGCCTGGTGCCCGCCCGCAATCCCCTCGCGGGCGCCTCATGCGCTGGGCTTCCGCACAGCTTGCACCACATAGCTTATACCACATAGCCTGCGCGGCATGCCTTGAACCGCATCGCTTGCACCACAGCTATTAAACCACACAACTTGTACCACATAGCTGAGTAACACCACATCTGCTCTCTTCTCCAAAGATTAGAACCACCCGTCCCGAGCCTGATCGGTACGCCCTTGGACACGGCAATTCTGCATCATGGCGTACTGCCCAAGTGAAATCGCACCACCTCAGGCAAACTGGGAATTGATCCCCCCTCACCCCTGTTAAATTATAGTATGCTCACATACCCGTGTATACCAACATATCATCTCGCAAAAAACTCTCATCAGCACGCGCGCTAACAAGTCGCAATCAGACCAACACACATGCACATCGAAAGCATATCAGCGTAACAACTGCTAGCGCGCGCCGCCACGCGAGCGTGTCGAAAACCTTCCAAAACAATTGGCCTTCGATGCGTTTTGAGATAGAGGTGCTTCTTGGACACAAAGCCGGCCACATTTCTAGAATGTCTGAGCGCAAACGCTTCCTCACCATCACCCATATCAGTGCCATTTCATCACCGCCGTTATCGTCATCGTCAACCGCTGCCATTGCCACCATCATCAATCAATCACGTTCATCACCGACACATGGACATTATGATCGTTTTCCTCATCACCAGTATCGGAGCCGTCACTGGCCTTGCTGTCGTCATCGTCATCATCGACAGCACCCTTCCTGCTATCATCATCGTTGCCTTCGTTGTCGACATCATTTGCATGACACCGCACCCGCCCAAGTCATCCATCGGCAACCGCCATCGCAGCCGCATCAATTGTGCCAAACCAGCTGGCGGCCCTGAGGACAAGCTTGCGCGTGCCAACGCGGCCGCAGAGATGCGCCAGCCAGTGTCAAGCACATCCGCAATCGTAGCCACATGGGTTTTGTAAAATTAGTTGCGGGTGTGAGGGTGGGATGTTTGCGCGAGCAGTGGAGTTGACAACTCAAGACTTCCGAGCATGCATTGCACAGCATAGCTTGCACCACATAGCATTCACCACAGAGCTTGCACGGCACAAGCTACTATGGGGACACCTCGTTTGTACACCACCCCACAGACAAGCACGTCTGGCGCAAGACCGTGGAAGAGGGTGTGTGTGTGTGTGTGTGTGTGAACAAAAACGGCATCCATTGGCGACACGATGTCTGTATACCACCCCCACAGACGAGCTGGTCTGGCACCGGGCACGCTCGCGGGGGCGGCGGCCACACGACGGCCGCGGAGCATAGGTCAAGTGCACCACGAAGCTTGCAACACATAGCTGGCACCACCCAGCTTGCACCACACAGCTTGCACCGCATGTCTTGCACCAAGTACATTGCACATCATAGCTTGCACATGCGCAATGCAAGCATCTACTGTTTGGGGGTCAGCGCTGACAGAAACAATGTGTATAGATGTATGGGCATATGTATATTTCTAGGTTTACATATACAGACATACATCCATACATCCACCCATCCATACATGCATACATACATGCATGCACGTCTATTCATACGTTGACCCACTACCGTGCCCTAAGGCCCGAGGTGGAACGTCCTCGCGTCACTCGAGTCCTCCGTCCTCAGTCCTGAAACTTCCACAGAAAGGGGCACGGGCTCTGAATTGCTGGAGTTCCCGGGGCGTCCCGCATGCTGGGGCGCCTCCCCGCATGACTTTCTCGGAGCCAAGGGGGCCCCAAAACAGGCCAAGAGGGCCCTAGGAGGCACCCAAGACGGCCCAAGAGGGCCCCGAATCGGCCCGATAGCGCTCTGAGATGGCCTCACGACGGCCCAAGAGGCACCCAATATGCCCCAAGAGAGCCCCAAGAGGGCCTCAAGAGGCCAAAGTCATTGACGTTGCTTAAGTGTTTCAGCAATGTTAGCGTTCTCGCCGTTTCTAGGTCCCGACGCCCCAAGACGGCCCATACGGCCCCTCAAGATCGCCCAAAGAGGCCCCCCAAAAGTCGCAAAGACGGCCAAAGGGGTCCCACAAACTGCCCAAGAGGCCCCCAAGACGGCCCAAGAGAGCCCCAAGAGGCTCCAAATGGGGGAACACGAAACGATACTTCGAGCCTTCCGCAACAAGATGACCCCCAAGACTGCCAGCAGGCCCCAAAGGGGCCCCCCAAAGCCCGAGGCGGCTCCCAAGAGGCCCAAATCAGGCCACCGGAGTCTCCCAAGAGGCTCCCAAGAGGCCCTAAGACACCCACAAAGCCACCTGCAAGAGGCTTCCGAGAGGCCTACCAACAGTTCCCCACAAACATCCAAGATGCCTCAGACCTACATCCTAGGTTCGGTGGCGTGATGGGTCGAAGCCCACTGGATATACGCACGATGGTATGTCGCAACACACAATGCAGAATGCGTGGTGCAACAAATACGGGCTGCAGCGTATGGGATTCAGTCTACGTTGTGCAAGCAATGAATTGCAAGATATATGGTGCAACGTCTTGGCGCACTGTGATGCCATGTATGGTGTGCAAGATATGTATGCCATGCAAGCCGTGCGGTGCAATCGAAGTGGTTCAAAGCATGTGTGTATGTGGAAATATATGTAAATCTATGGGATGCTATGCATGCATGCTGCACCAGATGGGCTACAAGCTGCGCCGTGCAATAGATGGGCTGCAAGCTGTGTAGTGAAAACTATGGCGTGCAAGCGATGTGGCGCAATCTGCGCGGCGTGTGCCGAAGCGCCAGCCAGCCCCCCCGGCGCCCGCAGAGCGCCCGCAGGGCGCCCACTGGGCGCGAGAGAGGCTCGGCAGCACAGGGCCAGCGAAGCAGAACCGCAAGTGGCATCCCCGATCTCATGTGATGTCCGCGATGTGTGGGAGACACGGCACGAGTGCACACACACACACACACACACGCGCTCGCAGGACGTCGGAGGACCCAGAAAAGAGCCCCCTGGAGCGCCACGCAAGGGCCCCAGGATGGCTGCTGGCTCTCCTCCTCCCCCTCCTCCTCCTCCTCCTCCTCCTGCTCCTCCTCCTCCACCTCCTTCCCTCCTCCTCGCGGTGGCCCTCCCCCCCCTCCCCCCCCTCCCTATCGCCTCATCCCTCCTTATCCGCCCCTCTCGACTCACTCCTGCTCCTACATCCTCCTCCTCCCTCCTGCGCCTCGCTCCTCCTCCTCCTCCTCCTCCTCCTCCTCCTCCTCCTCCTCCTCTCTCTCCTACTCCTCCTCCTCCTCCTGCCCCTCGTCCTACCTCCCGCCCCTCCTCATCCTCCTCCTCCTCCTCCTTCTCGTCCTCCTCCTCTCGTCCTTGCTCATCTTTCTCCTCCCCTCTCCGCAGTGCACTGCGATTCCCATTCCAGCCGCGGCGGCGAGAACCCCCTCCTGGAGGCGTCAACGACAGGAAGCATCGGGCAGATCCCCAAACCCATATCCTCGATCGTCGTCGAACCTGGAACCTCGAACCTCGCGTTCCTGCGGCATGCCTGCGGGCCGCATCGATCTGTGACGGTCCGCGGGCCCAGGAGGGGGAGGGGGAGGAGGGGGGGGGGAGGGGGAGGAGGGGGAGGATGGAGGAGGGAGATAGGAGGAGGAGGAGAGGAGGAGGAGGAGGAGAAGGAGGAGGAGGAGGACGAGGAGGAGAAGGAGGAGGAGGAAGAGGAGGAGGAGGGGGAGGAGGAGAGCCAGCAGCCATCCTAGGGCCCTTGCGTAGGAGGAGGAGGAGAAGGAGGAGAAGGAGGAGAGGAGGAGGAGAAGGAGGAGAAGGAGGAGGAGGAATGGGGAGGGGCGGAGTAGTAGGGGGATGGGGGGGGGGGGGCAGAATGACGACGACGACGACGACTCCCCCAAGCCTGAAGTTCGGAATTTGTCCAGTCGACGCTCTCGCGCACCCGCGCGAGCTCGGCGAAGGGCACCGCCCGCCTGGAGAGCAAGGCGACGACTGAGACGAAAAGGCGAGGGCAGGAAGGAGACGAGGGGAACACATATATCTCTACTCTCTCTCTCTCTCTCGCTCGCTCTCTCTGTCCCTCTCCGCACCCCCCTCTCGCTCGCTATCGTTCTCGCTCTCTCTCTCTCTCTCTCTCGGTCGCCCTCGCTCTCGCTCCCTCGCTCTCGCTCTCTCTCTCTCTCTCTTACGTGTTCTCGCTATGCGTGTCCATCTGCCCTCTCTATATATCACTTTCTCTCTCCCACGCTCTCTCTCCCCCGCCCTTGCACAGGCATCCCGATAGCTTACTTACACCATGTATATCGTGTGTACGCACATATGTGTATCGAGAATCTACCCGTGCATGCACCGAGGACGCTATGTATGCTCGGCACCCATTCTCCGTTCACACGTATGGATGCAGGTTGATGCCCCCCTATGCTTGTGCACATGCAGATACTCGATTCGTACAGCTCTACACACATATTAACTATACGTTGGAAGTGTACATGCGCATCCCGTTGGGTTACGCGAAGCCGGAAAATCGCCAAACAAGAGATTCCTTACACGTCTCTGTCCGCACTCCTGGGCAACACGGCGACCCCACTATCCGTTCATGTGTCTTGACAGCCCCCCCCCCCAAGATCCACGGGCATCGCGCCCAGTTGCTGGGAACCTCACTGTGCCCTGCACGTCCTGAGGGTTCTAACAGCGTGGTGGCCACATGCTTCCAGATCGTATCAGAACTGTAGGGAGGTCTTTTGGGATCTTAGCAGGGCTGCAGACAGCGCTGGCCGCAGTGTACTGGGATTGCAACCTGCTGCGGCAGGGTAGATGCGCACGGCGATCACGCCAGAGCTGTAGCCAGTTGTACTACAGTCCTACCAGACGCTCGGATTATAAAACAACTGCCAGGGTACCAACCACACGAAACCTGCCAAAGCTGTAATCAGGGTTGGGATTGTCGCCAATTGGTGGCGGACTGCAAGACTACATGACAACAACAATTCGCCCTCTCCGTGACACGCGAAACCTGGCGCCAGCTGCATTCTCATTCCTTTAGCGTGGTAGACGCCATATCCGAATTAAATGACGGTTCTCGGCATATGTGGTAGAAGCCCACAAGAGCTGTAGCCAGCTCTGGTCGGATTGTACTGGAATTGCGACCAGCTCGAACGGGAGCACAATGAAACTGTAGCAACTTATAGTGGAATCAAAACAGTGCACCACCCAACTCCCGCAAATACTATGAAGACGCTGTGACCAGCTGCAGCATGACCCTATTAGTGGTAGCCAAGTAAGTTCGGATTCCATTCAAAGTGCAGGCATCTCTGCCCAGATACTGCCAGCGTTGCAGCCAACTTTGGTGGATTATCGTCCAGCGGTGGCAAGAATTAGTACAAATGTACTACAACTGCAGCTAGCCGTGCTAGCATTACGAGAGAGCGTTCACCCACTGCAATATGATTCTGTCGGTGCAATATTCAAGTGTTGAAGAGCTCCGTGATGGCACTAGGCATGATAGCCCGATGACACCAGAGATGGAATCAGCTCTGGCCTGGTCAATTTGGAATGTTGGGCAGCTGCAGTCAAAATCAATTACGGCTGTAGCCAACTCTGTCCAGCCAACCCGGTCAGGATCTCATTGGCACTGTAGACTGCTTCATTCGGGTACCACTTGAGCGCTTGCAAAATCAAGCAGGATCGCGCCAGAGTTGTAAGTCGATTGAGCACGTTTCAAAAAGGATGGTGATCAATAGCAATGGAGCTTTGTGGTGGTGTGAGTCAGCTGTGGTAGGATCACTGGAGAGCTCTACCCAGAACGCAGGATGTGTGTATAATGGTACCCAATCCGAGCACAAATCTTTTGGAGTGGCAGGCAGCTTTATGACAACAGTGCGCGAGCGGTGGCAAGCTATAGCAAAAGTGTGTTGAAGACGACGGCAGTTTTGCTAGGATCAGGAACGATACCCAACTCTAGGGTGTACATTCGTAATCCAGCTATTTCATGAATTCATCTGTTCGGCCACCGTCTGGCATGCTGATGTGGGAATCACCAACTCTAGCAGGACTGGTTTAGGAGTGCTGGACAAGGGCAACTGGGACCGCAGTAGAGTGGCAGCAGTCTGCTGTAGAAAAATCGTGATAAACCTTGCGGCAGAATTAGAAGGACCCGGTTTGAATGGTAGCAACTGTAATAAGATTCGATGGGAAACAAGCTCTAGTCGTATATCACGACGGACTGCAGACACACGTAGTAGAACTACATCGGGATGGTAGCCCTCGGCGGATCCTGCGAAAGACAGTTTCTCGCACGCCCCCCCTCGCACTCGTCGTCCTCATCTTCACCCTGTGCTAACTTGTCGGCCCATGCTCTGCCCATAGCGATCCCGTTTCTCGTCATTTTCTCTCCGGCGTCATGACAGAAGCTCGCCAGGAACACCGAACACATTGTGTGCTCATATGTTCGAGGAGCCGTCGCTGCAAAGCCTCAGTTACCTAGGTTTGCATGGTGAACTTCAGTGAGACGATCCAGGTTCCACAAGAAACACATGTATACAAATAGTTGGAGATAGGCGAATGGAAGAATGGCGCCGCGATTCAGGCTGTGGTAATGATTTCAATCCTGGCTCAGAGTCATATGTTTTGCCTGGTTCTGATATAGATCCTGGGTTTCACTAGGGCCCTGACTGATTCAACCCTCCTGCTCGGCCTCCCCTCTTCAAATCTCTCTTCCTCCTGCCTCTTCCACCTCATCCCATCCCCTCGTCTTCCTCCTCCTCCTCCTCACCCTTTTCCTGCTCTGCGCGCGGCTCTTCTTCCCAGGTCGCAGGGCGACGATGCTATAAACAAAATAATATTTCAGGTCAGAGGGCACGGAATCTTTGTAAACACCATGTGCTCAAGTCTCGGTGGGTCAATCCACGGACTATTCATCTGATCGTGCATAGATCCGCAGAAACCTGGAAACTAATCCCTAAATATGTTCGTACAGTGGTGTCTTTCCCTCTGGCCTGAAGCACACGTTGGTCGCAATGGCTTGCAGGCCTGCGACCCGACAAGAGACGCCGCGCGCAGAAAATGAGAAGGATGAGGAGCAGAAGCCGAGAGGCAGTCGGGTCAGAGGCCGCCAGCACCGGTCTGAGGACATCGACGGCTGCGCACAACCTCCCCCGCCAGCCCTACCGCAGAGGAGACTCGAAGTCGTATCCTCGTGGTCGCGGAGAAAAGGAGGAGGGGGAAGAGGAAACGAGCGTACGTACGCGGAGGGGGAAGAGGAAATGAGCGTCAGTACGCAAGGAGGGGTAAGATGAGGAGGGGGAGAGGAGATGAATAGGAAGAGGTCTAGAACAGCAGGGGAAGAGAAGGAGGGGAAGAAGAGGAGGAATCTCCCTCTTGCCCTTCCCACTCCCTCTCCCACTTCGTTGGCAGCCCATGGGAACCTCCCGTGCCACCGTGCTGGCGATTACGAATCGACGCTGACTGACGCTTATAGACGCGGGTCGACGCTAGATCGACGCTAATCGGGACTAGGGCGGCGGCTTCACATTGATTACCAATCGCTAGCGTACGCTAACGCACCCTTAAGACGGAATGTCAAGGGGATCCAAAGCGAAAGCTCCTGGTTCCCATGATGTGCTCCCCAAATCCCCCGTCGCTCCCGCTGGCCTTAGTTCCACGCTTCCACTCTAGATGTCTCATAGATGGGATCAGAGTAGGTGGGGTCGGAGGATCGTGAAACATCGCCGATGCATCGGTGATACATCGGCGATGCATCGGCGATACATCAGCGACGTCGGCGCGATCCTTCGACCCATCTACTCGGACCCAATATGGGAGGCCTAGAGAGGAGGAGGAGGAGGAGGAGGAGGAGGAGGAGGAGGAGGGAGGAGGGAGGAGGGGAGGAGGAGGAGAAAGGAGGAGAGAAGGAGGAGGAGGAGGGAGGAGGGGAGGAGAGAGGAGCAGAGGAGGGGGAGGAGGAGAAAGGGGAAGGTGGAGGAGGAGGGGGGAAAAGGAGGGGGAGGAGGGGGAGGGAGGAGGAGGAGGAGGAGAGGAGGAGGAGGAGGAGGAGGAGGGGGAGGAGGAGGAGGAGAGGGAGGAGAGGAGGATGGGGATGAGGAGAGGGGAGGAGGAGAAAGGGGAGAGAGGAGGGAGGAGGAAGGAGGGGAGTGAGGGAGTCGGATGGAGGAGGATGAGGAGATGGAGGAGGAGGAGGAGGAGGAGGAGGAGGAGCAGGAGGAGGAGGGACCTCCCTCTCCCTCCTGCCCTCTGGCCCTCCTCCGCCCTCTCCCCCGCCGCTCCCCGCCGGCCTCAGCTCCTCGCCGGCCTCGAAGTCGTGGCGCCACCGCCTGTGGCTCAGCTCGTCGGCCGCGAGCTGCTCCTCGGCGGCGCCCAGCTCCTCGGGAGGCGCGCCCGGGGCTGTGGCGCGCGCCGGCCGCGCCCTCGCGGTGCTCTGCGCCTGTGCCAGTGCCTGGCCAGCCCTCGGGTAGGTCTAGGGGTAGGCCTAGAGGGTAGGCCTAGTGGTGGGCCTAGGGGGTAGGCCTAGGGGTAGGCCTAGGGCAGGCCTAGGGGGTAGGCCTCGGGGGTAGGCCTAGGGGCAGGCCTAGGGGCAGGCCTAGGGTAGGCCTAGGGGCAGGCCTAGGGGTAGGCCTAGGGGTAGGCCTGGGGGGTAGGCCTAGGGGCAGGCCTGGGGGCAAGCCTAGGGGGCAGGCCTAGGGGCAGGCCTACCCTCCGGGTTCTAAAAGCCTCCCCCCCCTCACCCCACGGGGGAGGCCGCCGCGAGGAGACCTCCAGAGCTCTCACACGCTGCGGAGGGACCACAAGGGGCATCCATGACTACCCATCGGTCGGAAGAGGCAGGCAGAGACCCGGAGCAGGGATGCGTGGAACGTAGATTGGGTCTCCGCCCGCCCCCCCTTCAGGAGGACGGAAAAGGTGATGCCACTCGATCCTTGGAGTAGGAAGGCACTCAAAGTAGAGTGGAATCGGGGAATCCAAAACTACCTACTTTCAACGACCAACGGGTAGCTCGCCATCGCTCGGGCGTCCTTTCCCCTTGCTTTTGCGGTTTCGTGCGTGCTGTTTTGCCAGATGATCCAGGATGCCGCTCGAGATGGTCCGCACCTAGAAAAAAAACGCACACGTCCGAGCGATGCCAAGCTAGAGGCCTCCCGAATGGGGTCCGAGTAGGTGGGCTCGCAGGATGGCGCTGCATCGCCGATGCATCAGCGATACATCGGTGGTGCAGCCGCGACATCGGCGATGCATCGGCGACGTCGGCATGGATAAGATCTGGCTCCACCTCGAGCCGCATCGCCGATGCATCGACTATGAGGCGCGATCCTCCGACACCAACTACTCGGACGCGATCTTGGGGGGCCTAAGACATCACAAGCATACATTACGGAGAGACAAGAAGCAAGGACATGCCGTACATCAAGAAGAGGCACCGAACATATGCACCGCTAACGGGCATCAAGGACGTACATTCAGAGCCTATCTGCTGCCACACTGGAACTCATGGGTGGGGATCGCTCGGGACACGTGCCTTCAGTCTAAAACGGTGCTTGACAGTCACGGGCCCAGCGATGGCCCTGGCCGAACCTTGCGACAAGCTCGCCTCGCAATGCTGAGACGACAGGCAGGTCAGCTATCTTCGCGCCAGCGCGCCGGCAAGGGCACCAAGCATGAGGCGACCTTCTCGCACCACGCGGGGCTCAGGGGCTGGGGGGGAGGAAGGTGAGACACGCGAACCCAGACCCCTCGCGTCAAGAAAAAGCACGACTGGAAATTGCTGGCCGTTGTGAAACCCTGGTCCTGGGAAGGGGGTCTAGACCTCCACGGGCCACGTTGTGACGACGACGACAAAACAACAACATTAACGTTATGACCGTTTCGCTCTTCCGTGCTCGCGTGTCACTCTTTAGGTCTGCCCCCAAACCCTCGATACCCACCCTCTTCGTCTTCGATCGTGACCGAATCGAGCGGGATTGATTCCTTTCCTGCCACGTGCCGTTGGCGCGATCCCGAAAATAGGAAGACGAGGGAGAAAGGAAAAGGGAAACAGCGAGGAAGGCAGCAGGAATCGCGAGGGGAGGTGCGCAAGAGGGAGATGGGGAAATTGGAGACGTGACAGATTAGGAGGGAGGGGGGGAGAACGAGAAACAGAAGGACTGGCGGGCGGACCCTCATAGGCGGGTCGGGCGGGCGGACCCTGACGGGCGGGTCGGGCGGGCGGACCATAATGAACGGGTGGACGGGCGGACCCGAACGGGTGTTCCTAGGGAGAACTTTGTGACACCAAACTGGGTCAGTGGCCCCCGGTCTAAATCAACAGCGGCTCCTGCCATATACTTCCTCACAATCGATTCCTAAATCGCGCTCTCGCGCGGGACGTCCTCACAAGTTATGCAGGAATCGCGCTCTCGCGTTGGACTTCTTCGCAAGTTTTTCAGACGCCGCGCCCTCGACACTCAGGACTCACGCGCTCGCTGTGGGTTTCCTCACGATTTCTTTGGGAATCGGACTGTCGTTCAAGACTTCCTCGCGATTCATGCACTACGCACGTTTCAGCAACCCGCCTGCCCCGTGTCCCTTCCTTCCAAACGTTCTTCCCCTGACTTAGGGGTTGCACGAAATACGCGTTGCAGATAAGAGAGATATGCCCCTAGGGGGATGATATCGAAAAACGAAGGGCGGGTGTCGAGGGTGTGGGATGTACGTGTTGAATGACGGGCGAGCGTATAAGAGCAAACCGTACTTACATAATTGTTGTTGATGATGCTCTTGCTTGAATATCCATTCTAGAGACGAATTGTAGTTGATCCCCCTCCCCGGTAACCATTGTAAATATGTTCTCCCAGGTCTCGCAGCTTGGTGGCACCAAACTGGGTTAGTGGCCCCTGGTTTACAACATCAACGGTTCCCGCCTGATTCTTGCTCACAGTGTATTTCCACATCGCGGAGTCGCGCGGAACTTCCTGACAATGTATGCAGGAATCGCGCTCTCGCGTTGGACTTCTTCGCAAGTTGTTGAGACGCCGCGCCCTCGACACTCAGGAGTCACGCTCTCGCTGTGGATTTCCTCACGACTTCCTTTGGAATCGGGCTGTCGCTCAAGACTTCCTCGCGACTCATGCAGTGCGCACGCTTCGGCAACCCGCCTGCTCGACTGGGCCGCCCGGGCGCGCCTTCCCGACCCGGCTGGTGGGTCTCTCCTGCCACTCTCTCGTGCTCCATGCTCCTCCCTCCCCCTTGCCCCTTCCTTCCATCACTCATCTCTTTCCCTGCATTCGGCGCCTCTCGCAAGACACGTTGCATATAAGAAAGACAGACCCCCAAGGGGGCACGATCGAAGACGAATAGGGCAGGTATCGAGGACTCGGGATCTACATGTTGAATAGCACGGGAGGATATAAGAGCGAACAGTCTTACACTGAGAGATGTTTTTGTTCCTGTTGCTGCTGAGATCTCATTCCTACATATAACTATCGCTGATCCCCCCGGTAGCCATTGTAGTTTTGAGTTGAAGTACCCCCCTTTGTGGGCTCGCACCCTGTTTGTATCAAGGAAAACTGGTTAGCTCCACCGGCGGTGGGTCCCCAAAATTGGGGCTTTGACTCCGGAGTTGGAAAAGATCAATCCCCACCTTCGATATTGGTGTTCCCAAACTCTTGTATTGAAAAAACCAGAAGTGGAGTTGTCAAACTCCGGATTGACATATTGACCTTTCCCAATCTTGGGGTTCAAAATTGAGGTCTTGGTCCAACATCGGGGTTCCAACTCCGATATTGGGGTTTCCGAAAACCCGATATAGGGGTTTTCCAATTTTCGATTGGCCTGCGACAGTGGAAGTTAGAGGCATATTTCCTCCTCCAACTCCTCCGCCTCCTCCTCATCCTCCTCCTCGTCCTCCTCCTCCTCCTCCTCCTCCCTCCGCCGATTGCTGCCGACCTTCATCGCTTAAATCCCCGCCCGCCCAAAACAGTCGCCAAGAGGCTCCGGTGACTGATTTGGGTCGGGCGCCCGTGGCGAAACCTCCTCTCCCGTGGCGGAAAAGATCGTCCTGGGGAGGTCCTCCCCCTACCCCCTCCTCCACATCCTCGCTCCTCCTCCTCCTCCTCCGCCTCCTCCTCCTCCTCCTCCTCCTCCTCCCGCCCATATTCGGACAGCGCGGTCGTTGGCCGCGGTCGGCGCGGCCGAGCCCGCCGAGCTCATGAGTCCACCCTATGCTACGCCCGACGGGAGGGACTATCTGATACAGATTTTGCCGGCATGGCAGCGGAAACGGAACCGCAAAGAGAACGAGAGGCTGCAGGAGGAGGGCGCGCGGGGAAATTTGAGAGAGGACTTTAATGTCCCGCCCGCCCGACCCGACCGGTCCACAAAGGCAAGATCGTTCTACCTCGCCAGCTGCGTCCGACTTTACAGTCCCGCCCGCCCGACTCGGCGCTCGCCCGACCCGACCAGCCCGCTAGGGCAAGCGTGTGCTACTTAGAGAGCTGCGTCAACCTTTAACGTCCCGCCCGCCCGACCCGACTGGCCCGCTAGAGCAAGCGCACGCTGCCTCGAGAGCTGCGTCGTGCTTTAATGTCCCGCCCGCCCGACCCGACCGGCCCGCTAGGGCAAGCGTGTGCTACTTCGAGAGCTGCGTCACACTTTAAGGTCCCGCCCGCCCGACCCGACTGGCCCGCTAGAGCAAGCGCACGCTACCTCGGGAGCTGCGTCGTGCTTTATTGTCCCGCCCGCCCGACCCGACGGGTCTGCCAGGGCAAACGCGTGCTACCTCGAGAGCTGCGTCAACCTTTAAGGTCCCGCTCGACCGGCCCGCTAGAGCAAGTGCCTGCTACCTCGGGAGCTGCGTCGTGCTTTAATGTCCCGCCCGCGGGGCTCTTGGTGACTGTTCTGGGCGGGCGGGCCCAAAACAATCACCAAACGCCTCGGGTGACTGTTTTGGGCGGGGCGTGCTTTTCATCCTACGGCCTCCTCCTCCTCCTCCTCCCCCACCTCCTCCCCCTCCCCCACTCTGCCCGTTGTCTCTCCCCTGGGAAGTGCGAGCTTGTCCCTTTGCTCCTCTGGCCCGGCCTACGGCCTCGTATGTTCAATGTTGGAGTTCAAACCCCAATATTGGGTTAGAAACCCAATATTGAGCTAAAACTCCACATTGAGATTTCAATTACAATATTTCAATATTCCCATTCTGGAGTCCACAATTGAAGCTTTTCAATCTTTCAATTTGGGGCTTCCAACTCCAATATTGAAGTGGCGGCGGCCAAATTCAACTCCGAGGTTTTGAACTCAAATATTGAGGCCGCCGATTGAATATTTCAATTTTCAATCGGCCGGGGACCCACCCAGGGATTGGTTACGAAAACTTGGTGTCACGAAGCTGTGCTGTTGGGCCCCGAACTAGAACAGCAACGGCTCCCGCCCGATACTTCCTCATAATATACTCCAAATTCGCGCTCTCGCGCGGAACTCTCTCACGAGCCATGCTTGAATCGCGCTCTCGCGTGGGACTACCTCGCAATGCAATCAGACGCCGTGCCCTCAACACTCAGGAATCACGCTCTCGTGTTGGCCTGTCTCAAGTTGTTCTTCGGAATCGCGCTATCGTTCGAGCTCTCTTCACGATTTATGCAGTACTCACGCTTCAGCAACACGCCTTTGCGACCTGGTCGCTTTGTTCCGCCTTCCCGACCCGCCCGTTACGGTCTACCCGCCCGATGGGCCCGTCTGGTTCTGCCATGTGTTTTCTGCCATGTCTGCACCAAGTACATGCGGCAGGTAAGGAATAGATTCCCCAAGGGGGGTTACGATCGACGACGAAGAAGGCGAACTCCGAGGGTTTGGGATATACGTGTTGTGTGGCACGGGAGCAGGTAAGAGCGAATAGTCTTAACATGGTTTGCGATGTGCTGTTGTTGTAAACTGGGTGCGAGGGGTCAGTTGTTCAGCCTCAAGTTTCCCCACATACAAAAACCAGGTGCGAGCCTTGGGGGGAACTTGGGTTGAAAACCAACCTGGCGAAGAACCCAACCATATGCAACTGTGAATACCGCAATTGTGGGTATCGTCTTCCGTGGAGCTCCCTGTGGGCCTCGAGACGCTGCACTGGAAGAGGGAGATTCATGCGAACTGCGCCACTGGGGCCATTGGTGGATTTCACTCGATCGCATCTTCCGGAAGCCGTTTTTGGGTCCAGGGCGAGGAAAAATACCCGGAACTTGCAATCTTGTCCCCGGGATGGGATCGAGAAGGTCCAGGGGCCTTGCGACGTGGAGAATGCCAAGGGCCTCACGTAAACGTTTCTTCCTCGAAATGAATCGCGGGAACTCATGTAAACCCTGCCACTGAGGCCTTGGGGGGAGCTCCCCATTGGGCCACGCACCGTGTGACGGGTGCGCCGAAATGAATCGCGGGGACACATTTAAACCCTACCACTGGGACCTTCGATGGAGCTCCCTAAGAAGCCACGAAACGTGTGAGGGGTGTGCCGACATGAATCGCGGGGACGCATGTAAACCCTGCAACTGGGCCCTTCGGTGGAGCTCCCGATGGTGCCACGAACTGTGAGGAGTTTGCCGAAATGAGTCGCGGGGACGCATGTAAACCCTGTAAGTGGGGCCTTCGCTGGAGCTCCCTATGGGGCCACGAACCGTGTGAGGAGTGTGCCGAAATGAGTCGCGGGGACTCATGTAGACCTTGCCACTGGGGCCTTCAGTGGATCTCCCTATGAGGCCACGAAACGTGTGAGTGTGTGCCGAAATGAGTCGCGGGAACACATGTAAGCCCTGCGACTGAGGCCTTCGGTGGAGCTCCCTAAGAGGCCACGAACCGTGTGAGGAGTGTACCGACATAAACCGCAGGGACGCATGTAAACCCTGCAAGTGGGGCCTTCGGCGGAGCTCCCTAAGAGGCCACAAACCGTGTGAGAGGTGTGCCGAAATGAGTCGCGGGGGCGCATGTAAACCTTGCCGCTGGGGCCTTCGGTGGAGCTCCATACGGGGCTGGGGACGGGGGAGGGAGGAGAGGGAGGAGGAGGAGGAGGAGGAGGAGGAGGAGGAGGAGGAGGAGGAGGAGGAGGAGGAGGAGAGGAGGAGGAGGAGAGGAGAGGAGAGGAGAGGAGAAGGAGAGGAGAAGGAGAGGAGAGGAGAGGAGAGGAGAGGAGAACGCGGGGCAATGTTTCTTCAAACCGAGGACCCAACACAACAGGATGGTCGGGAGCTGCCATGGGCAAGCGGGGGGGACCAACACACATGTTTCTTCAGAGATTGGAGATTCAGCAGCCATGATGTTATAAGACTAGTCGCTCTTCGTTGCTCGCGTGGCACTCAACACGTATGCCCGCAGGCCTTCGATGCCCCGCTCCTCCGTCCTCGAGGGTGCCCCCGAGGGGGGGGCCTGCCTCCCTTGCCTGCCACGTGCACGCGGCGCGGCCCGAGGTTTGCAAGAGGGGGGAGAAACGAAGGAGGGAGAGAGCGAGGGAGGGGATCCAGTGGAGGGGGAAAGGAGGGGGGGAGGGAGAAACGCAGAAGGGAGGGAGCGAGGGAGAAACGCAGAAGGGAGGGAGATTTGGAAGAGGAGGGAGAAACGCAGAAGGGAGAGAGCGAGGGAAGGAATCTAGTGGAGAGGGGGGAAGGAGGGGGGAGGGAGATCGAGGACGACAGAGGGCAGGATGGGGGAGGGGGGGAGCAAAAATATTGGCACGCGGATCCGAATGGGAGGAGGGGGAGGGGAGGAGGAGAGGATGGCAAAGGAGAGGGAGGCGAGGACGACAAAGGAGCAAAAAGACCGGCACACGGATCCTGATGGGCAAGTTGGGCGGGCGGACCCAGCTGGTGCGTCGGGCTGGCGGACCCTGACGGGCGCGGCATGAAAGCGGGCGGGCATCCAAGTCAGAGAGCGGGCCAACCCTGACGGGCAGGTCGGGCAGGCGGACCCAATCGGGCGGGCGGGCGGGCGGACCCTAAGGGGCGGGTCGGATCCTGACGTGCGGGTCGGGCGGGCTGATCCTGACGGACAGGTCGGGCGGGCGGGCCACTAAAGCGTCATTCCCGAGTGAATTGCTAGGGAGTGGCAAGCGAGAGCCCGATTCCTACATAAGTTGTAGGAAGTCATTGGCGAGAGCGGGATTCACGAGTGTCGAGGGCGCTGCGCTTGAATTGCAAGGAAACCCAAACATAAATGAGCGACTCCTGGAAATTCCTAGGAGGTCCCCTACGAACGCGTGATTTCTGTTATAGATCAATTGGCTCTGTCAGCCAGGAGCCCGTGTTGTGGAAGCCCAGGGCCAACCATGCATTTTGAGCACGAACAGTGAGCACTTCCCCTAGAAGAAGACAAACGCCATCAATACGAACTTTTGCCTCTCCGCGCGGATTTCTTGGATCTGCGCTGGGCCCCCCCCCTCCCTGGCGCGCGGAGCGCGCCAGGGGCAGCGCCGGAGGCGCCGCCAGGAGGGCCCCAGCGCGGATCCAAGAAATCCCCGGAGCGCCAAGAGTGCATGTTTGTGGCGTTCGTTCTGCTTCGATCCCCCGATGATATGCAACAGAAAAAACAGTGTGCGAACTCATGCGGGGGAGGAGGAGGAGGAGGAGGAGGAGGAGGAGGAGGGAGGAGGAGGAGGAGGAGAGCAGGGAGGAGGAGGAGGGGAGGGGGAGAGAAGCGGAGAGGAGGAGCAGGACGAGGAGGAGGAGGAGAGAGGAGAGGGAAAACTGATGCGAGACGGACCCGGCGGCGGGGCGCCGAGGGCGGGTCCTCCCTCGCCGCCCGGGCGGCGGCCTGCTCCACGAGGCGCCGGCCCTGGGCCGAGGCAAGCTCCGCCTCCAGAGCCGCCTCTCCAAAGGGGCTCTGCGGGGCGGGGCCCGGCTCTGCCCCGCCTCCTCGTCTTGAGCCTCCTCCTCCTCCTCCTCCTCCTTCGACCTTCTCTCGATCCTCCTCCTCCTCCTCCTCTCCTCCTCCCTCCTCCTCCCCTCCCCCCCTGTTGATTCTCCTCCTCCCCTCTTCCTCCTCCTCCGGATCCTCCTCCTCCTCCTTCTCGGATCCTCCTCCTTCCCTGTTGATTCTCCTCCCATCCTCCTCCTTGATCCTCCTCCTTCTCCTCCTCTCCTGTTGATCCTCCTCCTCCTCCTCCTCCTCCTCCTCCTCCTCCTCCTCTGGATTCTCTCCCCATCACTCCGCCTACTTTGGATCCTAACGTCCATCAGCGGAAGCGAATCCTAATACGGGGTCTTTGAGGTAGGGTGTGGCCCAACATCGTTGATGAGTCTTTGGTTTGCACTGGTCCTCCCCCTCCTCCTGCTCCTCCGCCTGCTCCTCCTCTTACTCCTCCTCTTTCTCCTCCTCCTCCTCCTCCTCCTCCACATCCTAGGTGACCCAGGTGACCGATGCGCGCCTGGTCACTCCAAGAGCGAACGACGCACAACAATAGCAAAGGGGCCTCAGACCTCCTCCTCAATTCGTTCCTTCTGACAAACTCCTCCCCATCGCGGCCCGAGAGCGGTCGGAAGGGCGGGCTGCGAGTTTCGCTTGAGAAGTACCTACCACTTGCGAGCCTGAGCATTGGAAGCTGACAACACTTTCACACATGGAAGGCGGGTCGCTTCCCAAATGTGCCTCTCGCCTTAGCGCCCGGCACATTCGTTCAAACAAAACTGCAAGAGATTCAGGGATTGAGGGCGGATCGTTTTTTAATTTGGGTCTCGCTTGGGCGCCGCGCACTCTCGCTTCAAACACTTGCAAGGGCTTCGCGGATTGAGGGCGGTTCCTTTTCACTATACTGCTCTCGCCTCAGCACCGCACACTTTCTTGAAACAAAAGAACTTGAAGGGCTTCACGGATTGTGGACGGGCCGTTTTCAAAATCTGGCTCTCGCTTTAGCGCCGCGTACATTCGTTGAACAGTAATTCAAGAGCTTCACGGATTGAGGGCGGCTCCTTTTCAAAATGTTGTTCTCGCCTTAGCGCCGCGCACATTCGTTGTAATACATTGTACGAGGTTCGTGGATTCTCATGTCCAACCTTCCAGAAATTGCGTTTTCGAACGATTCACGACTATCAGGGCGCAACGGTTACGTTCATTCGCGGTGCGGAAGTCATGAGAATGCTGTTCTGGCACGGATCAGAGTCGTCAAGACGCCACAATCAGATTGACTCGTGGCGTTGAAGTTCAAAGACTGTTGTTCACACGGTTGCCTCCCAACGGGGCGCGTCCCTCAGCCGAAGCGAACCCCAATACGGGGCCTATGAATAGGAAGCTTGGAACGAGGGTATCCCAACAGCGTTGGTGAGTCTTTGGTTTGCACTGGTCCTCCTCCTCCTCCTCCTCCTCCTCCTCCTCCTCCTCCTCCTCCTCCTCCTCCCTCCTCCTCCTCCCCTCCTCCTCCTCCTCCCTCCTCCTCCTCCTCCTCCTCCTCCTCCTCCTCCTCCTCCTCCTCCTCCTCATCCTCCGCGGCCCCCTCTGACGACGGCGGCGGCGATGGCGCCCGTCGACGTTCGATTCGCACGGATAGTGTGGCTCGACCTCGGCCTCCCGGGGGCCGCGGTAGGGCCGCTTTTTCGGCAGAGGGGGCGCGCGGCGCTGCACGGACCCCTCGCACGGCGGCGACGGCGGCGACGACGGTGACGGGGTGAGAGTGGGGCCTCGCCGACGGGGGGGGCGGTGGATCGGAGGGGAGAGTGAGGGAGATGCACCTCTCGGGCCGGAGAAAGGCCTCCCTTGGGGGCCCCAAAGCGGCAAAGGGCCCCGACGCCCAGGCAAGAGTGGACGCGATGGGCCTGGGGACGGATCTGGAGCGGATTCCGGCGACTACGACGGCGTCGACGCCGACGACGGTGTCGCGCGGGGCGCGGCGCGTCACCCGCCGACGACGGCGGAGGCGACGGCGTCCCTCGATGCTCGATGATCACGGGTGTTTGGTCGATCTCGGTGCCGGGGGGGCCGCTTTCGGGCCGGGGGGCCGTCGGGAACCAGTCTGGGGAATGATTCGCAGTCATGGGCCCTGGGCGGGATCCAGGGACAGATGTTGATAGGTTTTCGGCGACGACGGCACCGACAAAATCGATGACGACGACGACGGTGCGAGGATAGGAGCGTTTGATAGTTTTCTGTTGTTATGGGGGCTCCCCGGTGTTATCGTCGTCATCGTCGTTGTGCTGTGTAGGTCCCCAGTCCAAGCCCCTAGGGCAAACCCTCCACCATAAAAACAATGCCCCTCGGACCTCTCCAGGGATGCAGTCCGTCCAGAAGTTCGAAGGCAATTCAGGCGACGAGACGCGCTTCCGAGGCCCCAATTACTCGACGCGGAGATCCCCATTTGTGTATCCCTGTGTCCTTTTTTCCTGGCACGTCTCCCTCAGAGTGTTTGTATGTGAGCATATGGGTGCGAGAGCGAGTCCAAATGGACGATGGGAGTGCGAGCAAGTCCAATTCTGAGTTAGCCTGTGTGGGTAACTCTGACTGTGCATCTGAGCGCGATCGAGTCTCAATACGTATGAGTCTGAGTGTGTCGGAGCGAGTGGGAGGAGGAGTCTGAGTCTTGGCGAGCTTGGGTGCGAGTGAGTCTGCGTGTCATAGGATCTTGGTATGAGAGAGCCTGAACGATGATGAGTATGAGTGGATAAGGGAGACGGGGTGTGAGTCTGAATGATGATGAGCAAGTCTGAGCAAGTGTGAGTCCGAGTGGGTCAGGGAGACGGAAGCGAGAAACGGGAGGGGGATGACAGGCTGGCAAAGCGCCCAAGCAACAACAAGAGCACCGTCTTAAAGGTATGGGAGAAGGGGCGAACCACAGCGGAAGCAAACGAGACCTCGGCATTCGGGGGCCTCGGTTCTCGAAGCCTTCCTGTGGGGCCGCGTGGCGATCCTGCCCTCTTTCCGCGCGGCGTCGAACGCCCCCTGCGGGCAAGAGCTCTATGCACACTCGCTGCGCCTTGGACCTTCTGGGACGGCGCGCCACGAGGCAGAGGCGCAAAGGGTAAATCATAGATGGGCATCTTGGGCCCGGGGGGAGCCCCGTGGTTAACTTATGCGCGTCCACTGCACCTGGGGCTCCTCGGCAAGGGAGCCCGGAGCTCGGAGGCGCCGTGGGGATGCGGATGCGCGCGTGGCCCGCGCCCCCTTTCGAAGGGCACCCGAGAGGGGGTGGGGGCGAGGCGGTGCGGGGAGGCCCGAAGGGAGCATCTGGATCTCACGCACGCCGTGACTGGCCCGGGAGCCTGGAGAAGGGCCGAGGGAACCTCGTGGATGCCATGACAATGGACACGCTAACAGTCTTATCATCGAACTAAAGATGTGTTTCACATGTTTGCAACGTGTTTGCGAACAATGTTTAACATGTCTTATCATCGACTGAACAAATGCCTCGAAACTGTTTAAAGCATGTGATTTACATGTTTGAGACGTGTTTGAGACATGATTCAGACATCTGGAAATTATTTGGCAGCACGCTTCCTTCCCATTCATCGATTTCCACAAGGGGAGCCCAGGAGGCGAGCGAAGCCCCCCCTTCTGAAAGAGGAGCTGAGGATCGAGGAGAGCACGATGAATGCGGTTCTGGTCAGTGCATGGCTGGCTGTGTCACCCCGCTTGGGCGTGCGACGACTGGTCGCCCTGAGCGCCGGCATAAGGCAACATGCGGCACGCTGAGCTTGGAGCCTTGAGCCCCCCCCGGCGACCGGGAGAGGGGTGCAGGTCGGCCTCGGCCGCCGACGTCCACCGCACTGCGAAAGAGTTAGATCGGGCATGTCCTCATATGTCCTAATACAGGCAGCTTTTGGAAGAATAATGAAGCAGAGTCAAGTACACTTAAACATAATTTGAAATACGCACGAAGCAAGTCGTCACCTGACTATCTTTTTGCTATTCCCGAATACTCCTCCTGTGGAGGAACATGCCCGACTGAACAAAAGATGCGAGGGCACAGGCGTCGACCATCCCACTCCGTCCGACTCCTAGAGATACATGGGCGATTTCAGAGATCCTGAACCCAGAAACGTTTTCATTTCATGGGGAACATCTCTCACTTCCGCCGCCTGCCGGCGGAGGCGGCCTCGCTTTACTTCCGCCGCCCTTCCTCCGCGGAAGAGATGACAATGCCTTCTATCCTCGAAGGCGAGGCCCGCCTTGGAACGCCCCCACAGGCCTTCCCTGGCCACCCCGGCGCCGTGGCTGGGAAAGCTCGGGCGGGAGGGGAGGGGCGGAGGACGGGCTGCTGTCGTTGTCGCTGCGGTCCCTCCTCGCGGCCGCCCGCCGCCGCCGCTGTCCGTCGAACCCGCCGTCCACTCGGACTCGCCCGCACACCCAGACGCTCGCATCCAGAGGCAAGAGGCAAGAGGCAAAGCCATACGCCCGAGGCCCTAGGGCGCGTCGGCGCTACGGAACAATTGCGCTGAACCGTGCACGAAAACGTTGTGCATCTGATAACTCTTGCACTCCTTCCTCTCCACAGACCCGGACAGCAGGTGGATGTAACCGCTTTGCCCGCCCCAAGCGTGGTCCACCAACTCTCCGGATGAATCTGTCCGTCACTGGCGTCGGCCCCCCTGGGTAGAATACGGCACCCCTCAAGGGGCCCCCACAGGCCCCAGGAGGTGCACAGCTCGCGGGGGGCCTCCGCGCAGAGCACTTTTTTGGGGAGGGGCCGCGCGGACCCCCCCGAAGAGGGCGCGTGGCGATGTCCCCCTGCTCGACCCGAGAGGGCCGGCGGGAGAGAAGCCGGCGCCGAGGGGGGGGCGAGCCGGCCCCCCCCCCCCCAGGCGACCCAAGGAGGCGGAGGAGGAGGAGGCGGAGGCGGAGGAGGAGGAGGAGGAGGAGGAGGAGGAGGAGGAGGAGGAGGGGAGGAGGAGCGAGGAGGGGGGGGAGGAGGCCCCTCTGCGCGTGGCCGAGTCCTGGCCCCGCCGAGGGCGGGGGCCACCGCTTCCACGACATGCCCTAATGGGCACGGGCGGGCTCCCTCGACGACGACGACGGGCGGAGAGAGCGCGAAGGGCGAGGGAGTTCAGTGGCAACTCTTGGCGGCGAGCCCGGGGGGGAAGCGAGGAGGAGCGGGCCTTCTCAGAAGGCTCGGAGGTCCCTCGCCCTTCCGAGATGCCCGCGCCTCGACCGAAGACGCAGAAAGCTTCTCAGGAGGCCTGGGGGCTTCTGAGAAGTCCCGCCGCCTTCTGAAGGCTTCTCCTTCTCACTCCCCCCCTTGCTCGCCGCCGGAACTCGTGCGAGCCTCGGCTCCTGCGAATCGACGCTATACTCGACGCCAAGTCGACGCCAGTCGGCGCAACATCGACGCTAGCCGACGCTAAATCGGCGCTGTCTCATCGACGCCCTCACGCTAGTGGATGCTAACCGACGCAAAGGCCAGAGAGAGAGAGAGAGAACCAAGGAAAACTGACGGAGTGCAGTCAACGCGTAATAGTGAGGATGCGCGATACAGTAATGACACGAGGGCCTCGGACGCCCCTTTCGGAGCTCTCCGAGCGGGGCGCGGCCAGCGAGAGTGGCCCAGGATGGACCGATGATGCGAGGACGCAAGGGTACCCTCGGGAACACATGCGACGTTCCGTTTTTTTTCAAGACTAGGGAGCCCACAAAGGACGTACGCGCCCAGCTATGTACATGAACACGGCCCCTCGATTCGCGAGACCCGCCGCGTGATACGAACATTTGTGCAATGCGTGCTCTCGAAACCAGCGTGGATTCATGTACATGTACGTCCTTGTTTCGCTCCTGAAAGACGGCGTCCCCGGAAGCCCAGACCCTTTCCCTTCCCCGGGGCCTGCTCTTCATCCCCGAGTCGTTCTCTTTGGCGGTCCCGAGGCCGGGCGAGGGCCCCCCGAGGCCGACGCTTTCCAAAGACCTTCCGACCTGATCTTGTTTACGGCGCGATCGTGTCTGGGTCGCCCATCCTTACAGGGCAGTTTTCAATACATAGGACTTTTAAACAAACATTGGATGTTTGATCCATGATGAATTCATGGACAGATTGACGCATGAACTCATCGTTGCTTTTAATACTCAATCCTTGCATTTGTTTAATACATGATCCGCACGTAGAGCATGTATTAAAACTGGCGCTGTACTCTGCGGGTTGACCGTACGCCGCTTGGCGAGAAGCCTCCGCAGAGGCGGGCGTCCGGAGAGGGGCGCCCGCCTCGGAGTCGCGCGCAGCGTCCAGCCGCGCGGCCAGCTCTCGCAGCTCCGCGCGCCTGCGCTGCAGCTCGACCCTGTCGCGCGAGTGGGCGTCCGCGGCGGCCCGCTCGTGCATCTCCTGGAGGCTCGAGCTTCGAGGACATGTCCAGACGTGATCGCGACGTGAACACAATCAGGACGGGAGGTTTTTGGCCAATGTCGGCCTCGGGGGGCCCTCGCTGGGCCTCGGGACCGTCAGAGAACGACTCAGGATGAAAAACTCGCCCCGGGGAACGGAAAGGGTCTGGACTTCCGGGGACGCCGTCCTGAAAAAATCAGGGCGTCGCATGTCTGGGTAGGCTCTTGGCAGATGTTCCGGCCTTTCTGAGCCTCCTGGAGCGCCCTCGTCGCCACGGCCGGATTTGCCTCGAGGCTGCACCCCTGGACAGGGCCGGGAGTCCACGGCAGCCCAGACCTCCCCGCGTCGCGAAACGAACACGACAGGGGGCTTGCGGCCTCTTCCGGCCTCCAGGCGCACTCGGCGGGCCCCAGGACCATCCAGAAAAACGAATCGGGAAATGGTCGACACCTCTGGGGGTCCACGTTGCGAAAGAAGCCCGACGTTGGGGGGCCTGTGGGAAGAGGGCGCCACTGCGCGGGGGGGGGGCGGGCTCAGAAGGTCTCACACGATAGTCGTAGTAATCCATGCCGTTTCGGTCTGGATACCGAGGTCCCATCCGAAGCATGCGCGATCCCATGGATACGTTCCGCGCGAAAAATCCGCGCAACGCTGCCCCTTTGGTCTTGCCCGAGAGTCCGGACAGCGATGCCGCGGACACAGATATGTGTCCCGGTAACGAGAGAAGACAATAGCACAACAATTTAGGGTGCTATCGGGCAGGGTCACAACACACAGGGTCTCTCCCGAACCTGAAGGGCCAACATGGTAGATTTCACACAGTAGATTGCACCATTTGGTGCCAAATATGATCCAGGGTCCGGCCCCCCCCACCATGTAGTTGCCATCGCCCCCCCCCCCCCCCCCCCGCGCGATGGCCCCCGTGAGCGTGGCGTGCTGGGGTCCTCCCCTGTGGGCGTGCGGTGTTGGGTATGGGTCCGGCCGTCCCCACCATCAGGAAGGAGGAGCAGGAGGAGGAGGAGGAGGACGACGACGACATCAGCGTCGGCATCGGCATCGGCACATGCATCGCCGTTCTAGGCACGACGTGAAACTGCTGCCCTTGACAGAGGGCATATGCAAATCTGTAATGGTCGTCGTCGTCGTCGTCGTCGTCGTCGTCGTCGTCGTCGTCCCCCCCTCATCCCATCGGTGGGGGTGGTGGGGGAGCCCGAGGGACCCTGAGACCCATCCCATCTAGGGGGTGGTCCGTGAGCCCGGAGCCCAGGACCAAAGATTGTTCCCAAGTGTTGATCTTTTTCTGCGGGTGCGCTCAGTGTCCCGCATCGAGTGGAGCAGTGTCCGTCCAATGTCAGTTGGCTGGATGCTCGGTGCTGTCGGCCGCCCTTGGGGGCGAGCGCACGCAAAATCCTTCCGAGCTGTTCAGGACTGGTAGGGCGACGATATCTGCACATGTCCACCAGCACCCCCAGCTTGACCAAGACGGCGTATACATCGATCCTGGCTCTGGGATCGACCTGGCCAGGGGCGGTGGATCGGAGGTTAGGGGGTTGAGGGCGGTGAGACCGAAGTGAAACGTGAACTGCCCCAACCAGGAAATCGTTTCGTTTCGTACGTGACGTGCGTGTGCACAAAGCGAGGCGAAGCTGCGCGAGTTCGACCACTGGCTAGGGCCAGGCCATGCGAGTCGCCCCGCGTGCCGGCCGTGGTTGTCTGGATGATTGCTCGGGTGGTTGTCCTGGTGGTTGTTCCGATGGTTCTCCCGATGGTTGTCCCGATGGTTGTCCCGATGGTTGTCCAGATGGTTGTCCCGATCGGTGTCTCGATGGTGGTTGTTCATGGTTGTCACAATGGTTGAGCCGATGGCTGCCCCGATGGTTGGTCCGATGATTGTCCCAATGGTTGTCCCGATGTGCCAGACCATGATACTAAAAATACGCTCTGCGAGGCCATCATACTATGAATCTGAATATGTAAGCTCTTCTAAAAATCAAGAGCCCCCCCATTCCGCTGAAACAATAACGCATCCAACACCCGGAAGCGTTATCCTAGCACCCTGGCAGTTGGCCGTTGCTCAGCACTCCTGCGGAGCACCTAGCAACCCTCGAAAGTAGCGAGGAGGAGGAAGAGGAGGAGGAGGAGTGCTACTAGTACTACTCTTCATAATTTCCAATGGCAAGCTGCGGACGGGAATTAATACTACTCAAGCAGCGTGCTAAATACTGTTACTGCGATTACTTTGAACAATAACAGCAACAATCACGCTAATACTGTTCGCTCTGATCTGCGTGCGTGCCATTCAACGCGTATATCCCGAACCCTCGATGCTCGCCCTCTTCGTCCTCGATCGTACCCCCTTAAGGATATATCTTTCTGACCTGCAACGTGTATTTCATGCAGCCCCTACGGCAGTGGAAGAGAGGACGGATGGAAGAAAGGGACAAGGGGAAGAGAGAGCAGGATGGAGAACGAGAGAAAGAGAGAGAGAGAGAGAAAGAGAGAACGAGAGTAGCAGGAGGGGGGATAGGAGCAGAACGCACGTGGCAGAACCAGACGGGCAGATCGGGCGGGGAGACCCTAACAGGCGGGTCGGGAAGGCGTGCCCAGGCGGCCAGGTCGAGCAGGCGGGTGGCTGGAGCGTGCGTCCTGCATGGATCGCGAGTTTCGAGAGATA